TTTATGGTGTTTTTTTCCATAAGGTATTTGATGTCACTTTAATGAATTAAATTATGCGAAAAAACATAATAAATTATTTTTAAATTTATAACTTTGTTTTACATCTTCATGTACTAGTAATACGCGTTCATATCAAATTTAAAGAGAGATAGTAATTGTGACTATTGTGATTGAAAAATGAAACTTCAAATAAAAATATCTTACTTATTCGCAATGTATTCTAGAGTATGAATCAATTAATATTAGATAAAAAAAATGGACACTGTTGGCCATATAAAAAATTCCACAAATGAATTTAAATTGATAACATTGACAATCTAATAAAAGAATGCTACAAAATTAATAAATTATTCGAATGAATTCCTTTCGAAAGATTTAATAACTTGCAAAAATAGGTTTTGGAACAACTTATAAAGCAACCTGGTTTGATGATGAAGCAAATAAATATGTGCTGAAATCATTACACTGGTTGAACAGGATTGGATAAAACCAGAGCTAAATAACATTAAAAAATTGCAAAATTATAATTTATCCCTTTTTTTGCTCAAAGCAAAAATATTGATTAAAGAAACGTCGAATTTTGACTATACTGTTGCCGTCGCAACAAAAAATCCTGAAATTATGCAATAAGATCTTTAATTCTAACGCTAATTACATGTAGTGTTACGATTTACATGTATAAATTCAATACCCCATTTGGTACATTTATTGCAATGTGTACATGTATTGTGAATTAAACGTATATACATTCAATTACTCGGCAACCAATACATTTAATACAATCGATTCCATTTTGTGTTCACTTTAATTAATGCGTGTAAGGTCTGATACATGCACATGTACAATGAACATGACTACTTGAACAAATGTAATAATGTTTTCCTATAGTGATAAACTCGTCCTGTTGAAAATTCACTTGTATTTTCTATTTTAACATTAATTATATTCAAAAATCGAATATGGAAAACAAATTACATCGGCTACAGAATTCAGAAGACGAGAAAATAAATTATTCATTTATTGCAGCAGGACTTTCTCACACACAAGATGCTGTTGCTGTCTACTATAAAAATGGACAGACAGAATTTGAATGGCATTTGAAATTCGCAGAGTCAGGAGATCCTCAGGCACAATTTGCTATTGCTGCTTGTTATGACGATGGAATAGGAACAATAAAAAATGAACAAAAAGCATTTGAATGGTATTTGAAATCCGCAGAGTCCGGACATTCTCAGGCACAATATGCTGTTGCCAACTGTTATAAAAATGGAAAAGGAACAATTAAAGATGAACAAAAAGCATTTGAATGGTATTTGAAATCCGCAGAGTCGGGGCATCACCAGGCACTATTTGATATTGCTGTTTGTTATCAAAATGGAAAAGGAACAACTATAGATGAAAAGAAGGCATTTGAGTGGTATTTAAAATCCGCAGAGTTGGGTTATCCTCAAGCACAATTTAATCTCGCTGTCTGTTATGAGAATGGACAAGGAACAATAAAAGATGAACAAAAAGCATTTGAATGGTATTTGAAATCCGCAGAGTCAGGAGATTCTCAAGCGCAATTTAATCTCGCTATCTGTTATGAGAATGGAGATGGAACAATAAAAGATGAACAAAAAGCATTTGAATGGTATTTGAAATCTGCAGAATCGGGACTTTTTCAAGCGCAATTTATTGTTGCTTCCTATTATCAAAATGGACAAGGAATAATCAAAGATGAAAAAAAAGCATTTGTATGGTATCTAAAATCGGCAGAATCCGGAGATCCTTATACACAATACGCTGTTGCTACCTGCTATGAAAATGGACAAGGAACAATCAAAGATGAACAAAAAGCGTTTGAGTGGTATTTGAAATCTGCAGCGTCTGATGATTCTCAAGCACAATTTGATGTCGCTATCTGTTATCAAAATGGACAAGGTACAATCAAAGATGAAAAAAAGGCATTTGAATGGTATCTAAAATCCGCAAACTCGGGACATTCACAGGCTCAATATAATCTCGCTATTTGTTATCAAATTGGGCAAGGAACAATCAAAGATGAACAGAAAGCATTTGAATGGTATTTAAAATCCGCAGAAGTAGGAGATCATGAGGCACAGTATGCTATTGCCATCTGTTATCAAAATGGAAAAGGAACAATCAAAGATGAACGAAAAGCATTTGAGTCGCATCTGAAATCCGCAGAGTCTGGAAATCTTAAAGCTCAATTTGCTGTTGCTGTTGCTTATAATGATGGAATAGGAGCAATCAAAGATGAAACGAAAGCGTTTGAGTGGTATTTAAAATCCGCAAAGTCTGGATATCCACATGCACAATTTAATCTTGCCGTCTGTTATAAAAATGGACAAGGGACAAAAAAAGATGAACAAAAAGCATTTGAGTGGTATCTGAAATCTGCAGAGTCTGGATATCCACATGCACAATTTAATCTCGCCGTCTGTTATCAAAATGGACAAGGAACAATCAAAGATGAACAAAAAGCATTTAAATGGTATTTGAAATCCGCAGAGTCCGGCGACCCTCAAGCACAATTTGCGATCGCTGTCTGTTATGAAAATGGACAAGGAGTAATAAAAGATGAACGAAAAGCATTTGAATGGTATTTAAAATCCGCAGAGTCTGGAGATCCTCAAGCACAATTTAATATCGCTATCTGTTATGCAAATGGACGAGGAGTAAAAAAAGATGAACAGAAAGCATTTAAATGGTATCTGAAATCCGCGGAGTCTGGATATCCACGTGCACAATTTGCTGCTGCTTTCTGTTATGAAACTGGTCGAAAAACAATCAAAGATGAACAAAGAGCATTTGAGTGGTATTTGAAATCTGCAAACTCTGGATTTTCTCAAGCACAATTTGCTGTTGCTGTCTGTTATCATAATGGACGAGGAACGATCAAAGATGAGCAAAAAGCATTTGAGTGGTATTTGAAATCCGCAGAGTCGGATCATTATCAAGCTCAAAGTAATCTTGCTTTTTGTTATGAATATGGAATAGGAACGATCATAGATGAAAAAATAGCATTTAAGTGGTATTTAAAGGCAGCTGATTCGGAACTTCCAGAAATGCAATATAATCTTGCTTTCTGTTATGAAAATGGAAAAGGAACAACCAGAGATGAAAAAAAAGCGATCGAGTATTTTTCCAAATCTGCTAAGTCTGAGTTTGATAGATCCCAATTCATTCTGAGATTTAGTTATGAAAGAAATACACAAACAAAAAAAATGGAAGAGCTTTTATTCAAATCTCTTTTACAATCAGCAAATGAAGGTAATTCTCTTTCATTTTTTCGACTTGGACAGTGTTATGAATACGGAGAAGGAACAAAAAGAGACGATATTGAAGCATTTGAGTGGTATCTAAGAGCTGCAGAGTTGGGACATAGAAAAGCTCAATTCAACCTCGGAAAATTTTATCAACATGGAATAGGCATTGAAGAAAATCACGACTTAGCATTAATATGGTATCAAAAAGCTGAACAAAATGATCACGATCGAGCTCCCGAAATGGTCGAATCTTTTGATTTTGAAGAGATCTATTCAAATAGATGATTGAACCTTTTACTATATTCTAATTTATCTTTTTATATGAATAGTAAACTCAAACAAAGAAATTCTATCTTTATATTGATATTTCTAATTCAGAACTTGGAGCTGTCCTATTTTAGAAAGATAAAGATAAAAGAAAATAAGTAGTTGCTTATGCAAGTATTAAAAATTCTTATAAAGCAATAAACTGAATTGTTTATTTGTTTATCAATATTGATAGAAGCTTGTATTAAATTGAGAATTTGTACAGCAAATTTTCCAGAATACATGTAATTTTTTCTAAATTTTTTTTTATAGGTCATGCGCTTTATTGATTGATTTTTTAGATTTAATTTTAACTACTCAACAAAAATACATAGGAATAAAATACAAATTTGTTTGTTAACAAGTTGGAATTTAAATTAACTTTTGAAGATTCGGCTGATATAAATTGCCTTTGGATGGATTTGTTGTTTTTTTTGATCACATTTGTAGGAATGCTTTTTTGCAATTCACCTCCTATTCTAGTCTAAGTAACTTTTTATTCTTTTAATATTTTAGAGATTCTGAAGCAGTTGGTGTTTCTTTCCGGATGGCAGACATTAAGAATAAATAGATTTAATAAAAATATAGTTATCAGATTTCTGAGATGGAATCATAACATTTTCAATAAAGATAATAAATTTATAAATTTATTTGAAAATCAATGTTGCATCCTTAATATTTACCATGATTTGTTACCGAGAATATCGTTTACATTCTCACAAATACCCATCCACGGCTTTAATATATGATTTTCCATTAAATATTACTGAACTCATTTAGGGAAGTGCTCTGTAAACTTTACAGATTTATAAAATTACATGTAGCTGTTCATAAATACAGCATAGTGGAGAATTTACTCGATATAATAGATTTACTGGATTTATAAAAATTTAAAATATTTTCATTACAGTATTTATATATATTTGGAAAATTATAGAGTATATTTTTATCGTTTGTCCTATGAAAAAATTTATCAGGAATTTTATGTGATGCGTAAACAATTTTTCAGCAATATGTCATGAATTAATTTCATATGCAATTGGACGCGTTTCCATACAAATGCGTATGGAATTATCATACGGAATATAAAACCTCAACAATTACCATGTGTATCTCTTGAAATTCGTTATGAATTCCAGTCACAAATTATAAGATATATTCCATGCACACCTCTTAAAATTTCATATGATCTTCAGATGTAAATAACGTATAAATTTCAAAAAAAAAGAAATACATATATTCTGTTCACGTCTCTAAATATTGCTTACCATTCTACATCGTATTAATTTGTTTAAATTTTAAGTACAATTATACAGATAATTCTGAAAATCACAGATGGATTTTATATGTACATGTATTATATATGTAACTATTTTATATGCTTGATCACTTTTTTGTGTTAATTTTTACATGAATTTTGCCATGGAACATGTTGGCTTTGGTCAATTGCTTTGGATTGTTCACGCCCTTATTGTATTTCTAGTATAGCACCAAATTTGCCTTTGGCACTAATACAGGTAAAAGAAATCTCATTTTCAAAATAGTGAAATCCAAATTGAAAAGGTCTCGCAAAGATATTGCCTTACAAATTACTATTCTAGCCACTAAATATTGGGTCTTTGCTTCATAAATTGAAAGCTTGACCTTTTTTTTGTGTTTATTAAGTGCTAATTATTTTATACATGTATTTCTAACAGGAAAAAATTCGCAAGAACCCAAGATTAAGAAAATTAAATAATAAAATAGTTATTTGATATTTCGTTTAGAAGCTTTTGTAACAAGTGCAAGTAGAATATTAGAAAGACATTTTCCTGTAATAGGATGTTTGTTTGACATATATGATGAACAATATCATATTGGATTTAACCATAATAAAAAATTTTTATTATCAAGATTTTGTATTGTAGCAGGAAGTAATGAAGTAACAGAAAAAGTAACTACTTCTTCAACGTTAGTGGTTTCAAATGACATTTTAATAGAGTTTTAAAATTCCAAATGTCGAATACACCAAAATCCTGACTTTTCAACATCTCTACATGCTTAAAATCCAGCATCCTGAAGCTAGGGATGGAGAAGTTACCCTTTAACTTGAATTTGACTTTGTTTTAAATATCTCCCCCATCCACGACATCCAAAATCCAGACATTTCGACATATCCAACTTTCCGGCGCCTAAAATCACAACGTTCTAATGCTTACAGATCTGTATTACATACATGTTTAATTACATGTATGAATAAATTTTATGCTATCAAGTAAATTTGTTTTCACAAATTGATGATTGATGGTTGACAAAATTATGATTGGACTTTGAGTTATATATGAGCTAAATAATTGATTGGACTGTGTGATCAAAGCTAGCTTATTGAGCAGCTCAGTATTTATTTTAATATTACGCAATAAACTAATATAATAAACAGAGTGTCGAAAATAGCATTGAAATCAGTAAGTGTGAATCTTTGATAACAGGACTGGCATCTAATTACATTATTTTAATTTTTTCATGTGATTCCCAAACAAAGATTTTTATTTTCATGGTCTCCGATCTATATGCATTGTGTTGATTCGCATCATGTGATAGCTGTACTTGAAATCATAGGTCATTATAGAATAGCTTGAAGTCATTAGAGAACAATATTCAAAATGTAAACTTTCCCAATGATCATGAAAAAGCTCAAGACTACTCTAAGGAAACATGTTCAAAATTCGATGTGTTTATTTTTAAGAAGGTTATATGCTCAAATGTTTGAATAGTTAGCGTTAGTGATAGAAATAAAATAAATTGGGTGCGCTTTCTAATGATACAAAGATTTTTTACATTGTCTATTTTACTACTATATCGATATGTTCTACAAATTAAATGAAATTATTTAAATCTTACCTGAATTGCGTTTCAGCTTTATTTTTTATTTAAAAACGAAAATCGATGGCTTTATTTATTTGTACTAAATAAAATTAAAGCTTTATTCTTTTTGTCATAAAAGGTTATGCATATTCTGTGATCCTTTTGAATTTGATTTGTATTAATGAAAGTTTCTGTTATTTAAGTTAAAATTAATTTTGAACTAAACTTCACATTACGCTTGATCACAACCTCTTTTAAAGATTGCATAGGAGATCTTTAGAAATTCAATGATGTCTCACTTCGTGTAAAGTATTTACGAACCTTATTGTAACTTCAATTCTTTAGTAACCTAGCTTCCGAATTGAGTGTGAAACTATTCTTGTTATTTTTTTATAAAAGAAACTTTTATTATGTTTTGAAATTCATTTCAAATAAGAAATACATGCATATAATAAAAGTTATAGGACTAAGGAACAGTTGAATCCGATCTTTTTGACTTCTATTTCAAAAATACATTATTATTAATAAAACTTACAAATCAAAACCTCACGCATTTTTGATATTTTGAATCGAATTTTATTAAATTCAATATAGTTGGAATATATTGTATGGAATACTATCATAAAAATGAATATATGTGCATATTTTCACATATGAGATATTAAAATTTACTCGAAAAATAAATGTAAGAGAGAAAATGTGGGCATAAAAAGCTTAAATTCTATTTCATTTTTTTACAATTTGTAAAACCTCATAATCATCAATATCAAAATTTATCTGAGATTGTAAAAGGCCCACCTTAATAATTACCTTTAAACCTAGGTCATAACCACTTCCAAAACAAGGAACTTGATTTGAATAGTCAACTACACTAATAAAAGAACTACAAATTGTACTATATTTACTTAAAACTTCATTGGATCCCATAATGTCATGAGAATCAAATTTATATAAAAAGCTGCCCTTTACTTCAGCACCATAAGTTTTATTAAGAGATTTCCATTCAATGGGATTGTAACCACCGATAATTTTGTTAGAACCTTTGATACGTATTGCAACAATGCTTGGTCCTTTATTATCACATAAATGGTAAAAATCATAAGCAGTAAATTCATCTCGGCTGCCACGTAATAATAGATTAAATTAAATGGATAATTTATTTGATTATCTTGTTCTTTAATCCATTGAATAATTTTATCGATTTTGGTAAAGGAATTGTGTTGAAAAGCAGTTTGATTTATCAAAGCAAAATTTTCAACCATGGATTCAGAATATTGCTCCAAAAGATATCCTTGAATATATTCAATCAAATCCTCAAGAATTAATTCATCAGCAGCGACCAATAATTCCAAAAGTGTTGGCACTCCATGATCTGACAAATCGACTTTACCACTGTATATATATCTTTTATAATGTACAACTATAGAAGTTAGTAGTGGTTTAATATGTTTAAAGCATTATCATTTAATGATTACCTTAATAAGTTTCAAAAATACGCGGTTCAAAATTTGGTTTTTTTAAAGACGATCAGTTTGTTAGGTTCTCGTTTTACCCACGTATCAGAAAGAGCAATAGCAAAATATTCCGATTGCACCATTAGTATTGATGAATGCGCAGTAAAAGTTCGCTCAGTATTCGAATATCTCCTACAATGATCGAAATGTCGCAATATTTGACATTTTCATAAAACCTTGCCAATTTCTTAGAGTGTGAAGTCAATAAGTCAACTTTCATTCTGAATCTTTTATTTTAACTTTTTATGTTTACTAAAGTTTAATTCTGAAATATTCAATAAACAAAACAACGTGTTAAAAGTTTTGTACTTGTAAATATACTGCAGCACGAAAAAAATATTTGTTGGATTTTTTTAGATCTACATGTACATGTTGAATTTGCCTTAAGATGGACTAAATTCTGTAATGGTAATGTTAAAAATGTTAACTGAGATATTAACGTTAACAAATATTTTTATATTTTAAACTTTATGAGATGGTCTGACAGTGATTGAAAAATTTTTCTTCTTAAAATAACATAATATTTTTTATCTGCTGTTGTTGACGTATTAATTTTTTTAATATAAATGAGAGTGAATAAAAAAGAAAATTAATAAATGAAATCAAAAAATATGTCATTTTCTGTATAAAAGTTGTCAGAACCTTCTCATACACTGTTTTTTTCTTTTCGTGCATTTAACATGCTTTTCATGTACTGATTTCATGTATAATAAAAGTAGTCACTGATTAAGATTAGTTAATATGAAAATTTTGGTTACAAACTTTTCAGTCCACCTGTGATCAGTAAATGTACTTTGAGTAAAGTTCATTTTTACTTTTCTAGTGCAAATACATAATACATGTACATAACGATAAAGTTTTGAAATAAGCTTGACATTGTAAGTTTTGTGACGTTATTATTAATATCTTCAAAGCTTTGCGTACAAGTGATTTTTATTTCTTTTGTGCCTAATATAAATCGATAGTGGAAGAACTCCACTCATAGTTAGCTTTGTGCTTGGTACTTTTGTTTAGATTGTTGTAGTTTTCGCAACAGCTACCACAGATGACCCTTAGACAATTAGAGAACGTCTTTTTTTGTAAACCATTTAGTCTAAGCTTTCTTACCTTTGAGTTGCGTCCTATTTTCTTTAGATCCAACATCTTTAGGAGATAGCGTAATAATATGGTAAAAACATGCTGCTCGATGGAAATCGCTTTATCTGAGGCAGGAACAAATTATTTCATCGAATAGTATAAGCTATTCACTATTGTTTAGATTTTGTTATTTATAGAGTGTATACTTAATGGAATTATAGGTAGGATTACGCGCGCGTTATCATTTGCTGCGGTTTTTGCATGTTGATTACATTTTTGAGTTTCTTTTAATTGCATGGGTTTGTTTCGAATACAAGCATTTTCAAACCGAAATACTATCATTTATAATATATATCAGAACGGCTATATCCTGAATTTTTGTTCATAATAAAAATTTGCTTATGATCTATTTCGAATAAAGTTATTTTTCCCTGAGCTATATTAAATTAAAGTTATATAACAATTTTCTTTGGAAGAGCTCAACGTATTCTACTCGAAGAGTTTATTTGAATGTAAATGGAATAAAATTTTTGATAAAGTATTGTTTGTTATTGCTATTGCTTAAAACAAAATAATCTAGTATAATAAAAATAATAGTATATTACATTATTGAATGTATCTAGATAATTCAATCAATTCGGTGAAAAATTTCTTGCTAAGTCTCAAATAATAAAATATAAAATATGGCTAATAACATTATGTTATTTTTTTACTATTTGAATTACCTCATAATCCAGGATATCAAAAAAGATACGTGTTGAATCAGAGCTCAAAATGCCAGGTTCATACGAATTTTTCATGCAATAACTGCGACCAGAATAACCGTAAGAAAATAATATTAAATCACTTCCTTTTCCGAAACACGGACCACACAAAGGATAACAGCTTATATATCGACCTCCTGAATTGCTTGAATAGTTGCTTTTAACTCCAATGCAATCGTTTGAATTATCAAATCGAAAAAGAAAACTTTTGATCACAGCGTTGGTTTGATATTCATTGTCAGATGAATTCCATTCAAAAGAATTATATCCACCAATAATTTTTTCAGAATCTTTTATACGAACTGCAACAATTGTCGGCCCTTTCATATCACACAATCTGTGGAAATCTCTAGCTGTAAAACCATCTCGGCTACCTCTTAATAATAAATTCGGTTCAAGTGTCTCATTTTCTTTAGCTTGTCCTTTAATCC